ACACAGGGGACAAGGATCGGCTCGCCCGGCACCAAGGTGCAGCCGCCTCTGGGGCGGAGCCCTCGGGAACAGCCGCACAGAGTGCCGCATGGGGATGGCCCGCCTGGGGCAGAGATGCAGCCACTTCTGGGGTGGGGCGGCTGGGGAGCAGCTTGGGACAGGAAGTGAAGAAGATGCCTGTTATTGACTCAAACTGGAGTGGAAGTTTCAAGAGGCCGAACGGGCCCCTCTGAGCTGCAATTCGGCCCGGACACCAGGGTTCAATCCCTGAATTTCATGGGGGGGAAAGCCAGGCTGGGGAGTTAGCCCCTGACTGCCAGGGGAGAGCGCCCCCTGCCCAGCCCCATGCCCGGACCCCCGGCGCCCCCCGCACGACACTCACCAGACAGACCCGGCCGACCCGGGCCAGCACGCCGGGCCCCACGGTGCCCTCCAGCGCCCGCTCGCGGAAGAAGAAATAGAGCTTGTCGTCGCTGCGCTCGGAGCTGTCCGGCACCACGTGGGCCCGGAGGAAAACGGGGTCTGGGGGGGAGGTGGGGGCGGAGCCAAGGTGAGTGCAACGCCCGCGTCTGCCACAAGGGGGCACTGCTAACCCAGAGCACCCCCCGGCCCAGCCAGCGCCCCTCACTCCCAACCTGCAGCCCCCCCGGCTCCCCCAGCGCCCCTCACTCCCGACCCGCAGCCCTCCCAGCTACCCCGGCGCCCCTCACTCCGGACCCGCAGCCCCCCTGGCCTGGCCCCCCCGGCCCAGCCACTGCCCCTCACTCCCGACCCGCAGCCCCCCCGGCCCGTTCCCCCAACACCCTTCACTCCCGGCCCCCCCGTACCATGCAGCCAGCGCGAGTCGTACTGCTCCGTGCGCACGGCCGGCCGGGGGCCCAGGGTGCGGAAAAGTGCCGCGTCGGTGCCCATGAAATCCACGTGCAGCCCGGCGTAGAGCGTCCCGTCTGCGGGGCAGGGGGGGCCGTGAGAGGGGGAATGAGACCCCCCCACACACACAGAGCAGCCCCCGCCCCCGCAGAGGGACAGACAGATTCTGGCCCCCCCGTAATGAAGTGGGGGGTTCTCTGGGTTTTGTCACTGGTTTGCACGCCGAGGGGGTGGGACTCAGTGTCCCTGGTTTAACGAGGGGAGGGGAGAGGGAGTTCGTTGGGACACAGACCCGGAGAAGGAACTTGGGACCCCGGCCGACGGCCTGGAGAACGGAGACCCCAGCGACTGGTGACCCGGAGTCGCAGCCGGCTCTGGCCAGTGGGGGGACAATGGGCTGCGGGGAGAGGACCCCGGTGACCGGACCAGCCGGTCCCAGCCCGAGGGGCCAGAGGACAGAAGAGGGGAGAGGGGCCCAGGCGACCCTGTTTCCCTGGCTTGGAGCCGGGGGTATCAGATGCCCAGCTGGGGAAGAGGCCGCGGCGAGCACAAATCTGTCCTCCAAATGCGCTTCCGTGGTTGTTGGGGTGACTGGC